GAATGGCGTAAAGAAACGTACTGCTCCCTGCCCAAAACTCTCTTAGCCAAGAACAACACTTAATTCATTGAGAACAGATTCCGGGAGCGTCAACACATAAGATCATTAGTCCCGTAAGTGTAGTGGATATTTTTACTCGGGAAGTGGCGGTGATCTTTCCCAGCTGGACGGTGAGATTCGACGCCAACCTACCTGTTGGCAAGCGGGGTTTTCCAAATATCTCCCATCAGATACCTTCCACCAGCGGAGCACCGCCCCAGTCGGAACAAGCTCTAAGGTCCAGTCCGGACTCTTGGCAGGCGTGATAGAGTTTTGCATGTAAGTAGAAATGTGCAAGGTAATGAGGATAGGAGAAGGAAGGAAGGAAGGAAAGCTACGTGGTCCGTTTGATAGGGTACTGTTCTGGTGTTCGCGGGTATGGATGGGAGAAACCACGGAAAATTACCGTTCAGAGCACCCGGGCGCTAGAATTCTCCGCTAGACAGCAGCTGATTTCGACCTATCTAGCTACTAGTGCCGAAAATCGAGCCAGGGCTCGATCCTAGGATGTACCGGACATCAGTAGATGCCCTGAGCCACCTCTCCCGGCCGCAAAACTAACACACGCATTCAGACACACACAACACACATTCACACGCGCGCGCGCACATTCGCCAGAAGAGAGCATTTGTTTGCGGACGCGTCAACTGCTGTGGTCTCCCATTATTACCTTGAGTGGCGTACAAGATACACCCGAAATGTAGTAGTGCCCCTCCACCGCTGAACCCTGAGATCCGGCGCTCTCCTACACGTCGCCTTGAGGGCTCTCCCCGTCCATGACCCCCCCACGGCTCATCACCCCAGCCGGGCCAAGTACTTATTTTTTGAAAAAAAAAAAAAAAAAAAAGATAATAAATGTCATAGAGAATTCAGGTAAAATATCCCCAAAATGTATTCGAATGGATTAAATTATTAGAAATTCAAATGGACAACGAGATTTGCCAATGCTCAGACACTAGTGTTCACAGACGTGATGCCGGAAAGCACTTTTTCGGTATCAAGGACCCTCACAGAGTGGATACTGATTCCATAATATATTAGAGGAAGTTATTTGTTTAAGGAAGAAATATTCACTTTTTTCGCTATAACGGTCCTACAGAACACGTTTCTATCGATATCCCCCTGCATCATTAAATAAATATCCCTAAACTCTATCGTAGTATAGGAGAATGTAAAAGCACGGTTGACAAACTATTGCGAATAGATGTTACTGATGGGGGGGACGCGGGTAACGTGTCTCCCATTCCGTGATGGCAGAGCTATTCGGTTGACGTCTACAGAACCAAGTTCAAACCGACGTTCCCGTCGGGGGTGGCGCGTCTGTCTGTCGTGGCGCGACGCGGACGGTGCCGAGGCCTGGAGGCGGCCACGCCCACCCGCGGACTCCGTGAGCTCCGGCGCCGCAGAGGCCCCGCGGCCGTCCACGTGCCGCCGCCGCCGCCGCCGCCGCCTCCGCCTCTGCCCTCTCGCGAAGCGCCCTGCCGCGCCACTGTCAGCACCGCTATTTTCATGTTTCCATTTGACAACGCGCTGCCGGAGAAGGCTGGCGGCGAGGCGGGGGCGGCGGAAGCGGCCTTTCACAACAGGAAGCTGACCAAGCGAAACAGAGGGCATTCGACAAATTGCTCAAAGTATTAGAATTGGAGAAGAAGACGAAGAAATAGAAAAAGACGAAGAAAGAGGAGGAGGAGAAGAAAGAGGGGAGGAAGAAAAAGGACGGGAAGAAGAAGAAAGACGAGGAGGACAAGGAGAAGAAGATGAAGAAGAAGAGGAAGAGGAGAATAAGAAAGACGAGACGAAAGGAAGAAGAATAAGCATGGGGAGAGGCGAGGGGTTACTCAAATAAGAGTCTGGCACATGAACCAACACAACTGACTGGTCAAAGAGGCCGGTAACACAAAGAGGCAGATGGAAATGGCATCAGACACTAGCGCCTCCGCCAGTGGAGCCGCCCAGGAACGAAAGGGAAGGGGTGGGAAAGCCGGTCATGACACATGAACATGGGGAAACGCCTATGTCTGCGCATGACGCATGACGCATGCAACACCACGTATCGCCCGTGTTTCAAACCTGATGGGCCGTAATTCGGGCCAGTATTTTCTTTAATAAACACTGTATACCACCGTTCACGCACATAACCGAAAAATGATATGAATTATATTTTATGCCGTGTAACGCAGAAATATAACTATATATATATATATATATATATATATATATATATATATATATATAAATATATATATATATATAATGTAATGCTACGTTGCATCATGCATATATTTGAGTATAACTACGCGACGCCGCATGCAAAAAATTGCGTGATCCTCCAAAGTGGTCCATTTCAAAGGAATTCAAGGCATCACCGAAAAAATTAATGCAACACAATGGCAGAGACTTTCTCGTCCTATTTGCTGTTCTAATGTCTTAAATCTGAGCTAAGCTCCCTACTTCTTCTAAGATTCCATCTATTGCAGCCCAAAATACACATTTTTGCAATTTCTCTGTTCCTTAGTGCTGTAAATATGACTTAAGAATACTACCTGCATACTGCAGCAAAACCTGGACATACACGCACAATTTTCACCGAAAATTGGAAGCAGTTTTTGAGAAAATGTTGTTTGAGTTCACAGTAAATTTTTGAGTTTTCCAGAAACTTCAATGAAATTCATTTAAAGCACTTGTACTAACAAATGTAATAACCTACACAAATCACTGGAAACGTAAATATTAAGACGAGAGTAAAAAAACACTTTGTTTAATTTTTGAAAAACATGATAATATATTAAAGTAATGATGTTTTTCAATGCATTTTACAGTAGCCGTATAACATGTAAGAGATCTATACAAATTATACTTGTGTATTTTGTGAAAAATACAAAAATACAGCGAAAAAATAGATGTCAGTTGTAGAGTGCATTTATCACAATTTGTTTTGAAAGTCACAGTGCTTTGAGACGTTTCAGATCGAGAATATTAATTTTGGAAGAAAAATCCTACGAATAATTAGGCGCTAGTGTTGTTCACAGACTGACAGACGGACAGACAGACGTTTTGTCGTCATTTTTTGGTACAACGGGCGCACAAAACAGATTTCGAGTACACAATTTTCTATAGACTACATTAAATTGCATAAAATTCATACCACTTAAATTCGTGGTAACTAGATAATTTCTAGAAATTTTAGGATCCCCTGGGTTCCCTAGACTTCCCCAAGTGTCTGAGACATTCCTATTCTGCACTTACTAACAGCAATACTAAATTGCTCCATTGTAAATTACAAATTACTAGTGTAGAGCTTAAAGGCGCTTCTGAGAGCAATTAACGAGATAGTAGATCGCCTTGAAACGTGATCCCCAACATTTTGAGGGCACTGACTGTGGATCTTGGCATAGCCCCAGAGGTTTCAACCACCACCGTCAGAATTTTGGTGTTGGGAACTCCACGAAGTTGGGCTGTCAGGGGGGATGACTGGTTGGTATTTTACCTCTTTTTCCTCTTATGCTTTCAGAAAGCTAGACTCATTCACATAGCGAACAGTCACGTCGACATATAGACCCCTTCCCGGCTTTTTATTACGAAGTCGGGTTTGAGTCTAACTCCTCTGGCAAAGGAGAAACTGGCTTCCGTCGTCACCACGGAGATCGACTTTCGGAGCATCTTCCCCTCCTCCCATCTTCCAATCTGCGAAGTTCTTGAACTCGTCATGATGCTTTATTCTTGCTGGCTTAGTAAAAATGCATTGATCAAGGATGGGATTCATGATTTCTATCTCTGCACTTCTTGCAATATACTTCCTCTCTGAGCCTACCCCTACTAAGTGTAGGTTTATTGGCAGTTGTTCTTCGATCTCAAAGACCAGGGTTCAGAAGACAACAGACTTTCAAAAAGCCATTTCCGATCGGATTGTTTATTAGCGCCTTAACCGCCCTCCCTTGGAATTCCAGCTTCTCTCAGGCGGCTACCACGACATCGGTGCATTTTTTCTTATAAAACCTTATATCTTGTTCAGTATTAGGCTCAGTTGAGCCTCAGTTATTTCGTAGAACTTAATGTCCATTGATAGAAATTCCGAGAAGAGATCATCCACCTGAAAACAGAATTGCAGACTTTTGTAATCGTAAATATAGGTTTAGTGCAAACGTGTGGGCGAGCTTATCTCAGTTCTCCATCTCTCCTGGCCAACGGCAGTTCTCATAACCAGATTGACTGCCATTGTAATTTTAACGTTCACTTCCCTGACCATCGACATAGAGGGTATCGATAAATCCAGAGTAGGAAGGTATGTAGGCAGAGTTGGTACAGATAATTTGTCATTATGTAGGTATTAAGTAACGTCACCTTCTGAGTGGTCTTCAAATCGCTTTCTGAAGTCTCGTCACTGCTTCCATTAGATTCGAGATGGGTACTTTAGATGGTAAGCCGTTACAAATAGTGTCCCAGGTGTGTTAGATTATCATTATTACTGACCAGAGAAATTATTTTCCACAACCATTCCAGCCACGGGTACTCAATGAACTAGGATGGTTCAAAAGTTGTAATTTTAAGTCATGAACACTTACCTATAAACAAAGTCATTCCATGAGCCCCAAGATATTCTATCAAAATATCAACCTCTACAAGTTGGTACCTCAATCTCTTTCAAGGGATGCTGAATGACAGTGTCCATATCTGCAGAGTGGGAATCCATTGCCATATTAATAAATATTCAGATTTTTTCTTCAAATGAAATTTGTTCTCCTCAATTAATTGTTTAATTAATAAAGACTGTATCTCCCATTAGATGGGTTGCGCCTAAGCCGCGACAAGCTATAAGCTGAAGACCGGGCTCTCATATGGGGTCACATATGGTAGTGATTGTATGTAAGTAAGGTGTGAGGAAAGGAAAAAAAGATCGCGCGCGGTCAGTGGCCTATTATTACGATACTTCTCCGGCATTCGCACGGTGTTGATAGGAGAAGCCATGAAAAACTACCGATCAGAGCACGCGGCGCCTAGGACTGTTCTTCAGACTGTGGATGAATTGGCTTAGCTTACCAGCTAGGGTCGAAACTCCTGCCACCGTCGGGACTGCAACCCTAGGACCTTCAGATCAAAGACACTGTAGTCACACCATACGATGCCCTGAGCCATATTTCCAGTTCTGAACTTGGAGATGTATATATTTTAAGGGCAAACACAAAAAAGTTTCATTTTTAAAGATAATTAAAGTTGTATTGTTAAATTTCCTAAACGTGTATGTAAAGTAGGGTCAGTGCGTGAGTAGGAGCAATTTCAAGCTCAGGTTCCTCCATCAGCATCCGAAAACGACGATGCATCCCTCTAATAAAAAGTAAATAATCGTATCAAGAAATGTAGTTGGCTGCAGTCGGTGATAGGGATGCGACATCGATGTTGATGTTTTCAAAACATCGATGTTCTGGTAGAAACTGGTGGTTCTATGTATTGACACCGATGTATTAACAGCGAGTTTTTGTGATCAAGGTTTTAATCTTTTCCGATGGTTTGTTTCTCAATGAAAAATGTCAAAGATGAGAAGGCTGTAAAATCTAACTAATGAAATAACTATTAGTAACACTGATATTCATCTGATGGAACCCAAGGAATGCTGGTTGTACTACCTATAACGACAAACTCTCTAGCCCGAGATGACCTCTACGCTATTGTATTTCCTCTTCATATACATTTTGCACATTGAGATGTGGCCAACAAGTACTACGCTTTGGGCGTAGGGTCGGTACGATTCGTATCACACCCTTATTCAGCGAATTCATAAACTCTAACGCTGTCAAATTAAATGTTATTGCACATGAATTTAATGTTAGAGGATTCTAATCGTGTCTAAAACTATTGAAAAAACGAGAGTTTTTCGTCGGTGTATTTTTAACAGCAATGTTTTAATTTTCAACATCGTTGTTTGCCAACATCGATGTTTTGTTGCCTCATTAGTCGGTGCGCTAGCAAATGCGAACGATAGAGCACACTCTAGACTCGCTCGCCAGAGCGCGAGAACCGGAAGAAGCATCCACACGCGCTGAAGAAACCGAAATCAAGCGAGGCTGCTCCAGCCCTCGCGGCTTAAGTTTCCTTCCAGCCTCCCTCTATTTCACGCCTCACAGGACTATTTGCAGACGATTCGAACTGGCGAGTGTGGTGGGGATGAGGAACACCCAATCACAGTGCCATGTAATCCCGTGTCTTGTGATATTCACCGCCAGAGCTTCGCGGCTACGAATTCATTCACGGACCTCTGAGAATTTTCCTGCTTCAAGGAACGCCGAGGCTCACCGCGGGGAGGCGGCGTTCCTCTCACTTCCAAACGGACGTGATGGGGCGCCCAAACACATCCTCCCCGAGAACCGCTGTCTGAGGCAAACGCAGTGGTAGGCAGGATGGGCTGCCGATGCCCCATGGTGGCGGCCAACGCCCGAAATAATTAATAAAACTTGATACAATTCACCTGTCGGGCAATGTAACGAGCGTTCCAATATTATATCTTAATACGTTTGTTAACACAGACGCTTTAAAGATGATTTTTACAATATCTATAATTTTTTAGCCTATGGCAACTAAAAAAGACGCAGTTTTTAAAACGTACAAACCAAATTTTGTCTGAAACCTCTGCATTTTTTTAAATTCTCCGTATTGCAAAACAGTTGAATTTTCTACGATATTCCTGTTTTAAGTCCTGGTATTGGGGATCTCCAAAACTTAAAATATACTGAAAATGTAGGTATTTTACTTTCTCATCTTACTGCATACTACAAGTAAACAGGAAGTATTGTAGTGTGCGGCGGAGACTGGCGATTTCGGGGCAGAAAACTCGTGTTGTCCAGCTCGGTAACAAAAATGTGGCTATCAATCTTTTCCATCAGCTTATTACCAGCTGATGATCTCAGAAATCACATTTCAGCATAGCACCATGTAATTGTATTGCTACTGAAGCTACAATTAAATGGTGCTTTTAAATAACGGAAATGATAGTAGGCCGTACTAATTAAACAATTTCGAAAAGATTGAGGATTGAGATTCTGGATTCAAGGTCAGGATGACGCACACAGCCGCCGAAGGCTCATCTTCACTTTATCGCCTGACTACGTACTTACGTGCGGCTTCAGTTTTTTAAAACTTGAAAACTACTCCAATATTATGCTTCAAGTATATTTACGAAACGAGATAAATGCACTGAATAACGTGGCAAAACCGCCTTTTGAATGTGTGTTTTTGATTTTTCAAAAATTAAACAATCGAAATTGTTTTGAAATATCTCCCAGGTCGTTGATACGTCTAACGGAGCATTTTTAAATCTCATTGCATTTGTAAGCACACGTGCTAGAACATTTCAAAACGATTTATTAAAAAAATATTTACGTAGAAAACCCAAACGTTTTCTATGAAAATTTACTCAAAAGTTTGCATTATTAGAATAGTTCAAATGTTTTTTAATATGTTAAACATATAGTGTGCTAAATGCCCTGAATAACACGACTTAAATACTTTTTTTATTTTCTCAAATG